ATCAGATAAATTTATTAACAATCAGTTTTATTATCAGCGCTCTATAACTCCTTGTCTCTACATAACACGTGGTGTCATCTTTTTGTGTGACTTTACTCTCTCATAGACTATGTCATGGACAGCAGTAATCAAATTATTGACCTTACTTCTGAGTAAGACAATATTGTGATTAAGGTGTTTACTACGAGTTGCTTTTAGAATATTCCTTTCATGTATTCGCTTTAACATATTCTAGAACATAGTTCGATTAACTGCACGTTATTACGTCACCGCGCCCACAACGCCTGACGTTCCTCCAGAATTTCACGTATCAACATACAGTTGGTCTTTGTTATGGTAGGTGTTTTTATAAAAAAATTTTATATGCTCTGCGTTTAATAAAAATTTGTCATGCCGTATGTCCTAATAGACAACTGCTTGAAGCCATGGCGCATCCCAAACCGTGTACTTACCTTCTATATAGTAGCCAAGATGCATGTATTTTGCCTACTATAAGCCTATAGTAGGTAAGTACTCAGTTTGGGATGCAGCCATGCCTCTTGTTTGACAGTTCCTAAAACGGTTCAGAAACGGAGCACTGCCATGTGTGTAAGCGGTCTTGTCGCAAAATGGCAGTGAAAACTCTCATACAAACTTAATAGTGTGATTAAGGTGTTGACAAGTCTGTAAAACACGCCGATAATATGACTAAAACAGGAGTACTCCACATGTCTTAATTCGATTTTGTTTACATTTGATGATGACCTTAATCGGATTAAGGTAATTCAAAATTGCTGTTTACATGGTAGTTTCTTAATCAGAGTATTGTCTTAATCAGTTTAATATTGGATTATTGGATAAACACAAATCGAATTAAGACATGTGGAGTACTCCTGTTTTAGCCGCATTATTGACGTGTATTACAGACATGTAAATACCTTAATCACACTATTAAGGTCGTGTGAGAGTTTTCACCGCATTTTGTGACAGGACATGATCACACACGGCAGTGCTCAACCGTTTTATGGCAAACAAGAGAGCACGGCTGCATCCCAAACTGCGTAGTCACCTACCACACAGTAGGCGAAACACATGCATATAGTAGGAGAAATAAATGAATGTATCTCGGCTACTCTACTGCAGTTAAATACGCGGTTTGGGACACAGCCCACAGCTTCAAGCAGTCATCTATTTGCACGTACAGCATGACAAATAATTAACCGCACTTGAAGCGTACGTAAAAATTGTAAATAAAAACACCAAAACTGTATACAGCACCATAATGAAGACAAAATGTACAATGATGTGAAATTCTGAAAAAAATGTCGGATGGCATGGCTCGGTGACGTAATGATGTGTGCTGTTAATCGAACTATGTTCTATAACATGTAAAATGGGTATTGATGTATGTATTATATATTGATAATGAGTATTCTAAAAGTGACTCATGTAAACACCTTAATCATAATATTGTCTTACTCAGAGTAAGGACAATAATTAGATTACGACAGTCCATGTAAACGTAGTCAATGTTAAACAATGAACAATATCTTCACATGATATCTTCCCTTTAAAAAAAAAAGTCTTTACTTCCCTGTTCTCTTTCTCTTTTTTCCTCTTTCTTATAGACATTCAAACATTTGTCATGCACAACAAACAACAACCTGTCACCAGGCAAATAAAAAATCCTGCAGAATATAGACATGGACAATATAAACTGTAATCATTCTTATAAAGAGAACAACAATTCAATTAAACCTGCAGACCTCCTTCCCTAAGGTATTTACTTTAACATTTCACACAACTGTTTCTCTCCTCTTTTTTTCATGTCCGTGTGTAGGGCTGGGGTTTGTTTCCACATGTTGTTGTGTTGGTGTAAACTTTGTTGTGTCAGTGGGTGTAGGTGGAATATTAACAGTATCTTGTTTGTGCAAAGTGTGTGTGTGTTGTCTGTGTGTTTGGCACAGCTTCGAGATGGTGTCAATTCCCACGTAGCACTGCACCTTGTTCCATCTCAATGATGTAGGAATGAGGAGTCACACTCTTCCATCTGATTACTGCAGATGAAACCCAGACCTTCTCATGGTCCATTTTTGTGAGGACCGTGTCTCCAGGCCTCAGTGTTGGCAACCGTTTAGCTCCATGGCAATGATTGTAAAAATACGCTTGAAGGTCTTTCTCTTTCATGTCTTTCTGTTTGACAGTCCTTCTTTTTGGACACCTGGGTTGAAGATTTTTCTCCATGGTGGGTAGAGTAGTTCTTATCTTTCTGCCCATCGGAAGTTCAGCTGGACTGACTCCAGTGACAGACATAGGTGCACAAACATAGGTCAAGATATATTTCCACAAACAGCAGACAAGACAGCAGATCAGAGACACTATCTGATCTCCAGCCATAGTCTTTACACACATATCACCAAATTTCTGTTCACAGCAATTGCACTGAGGGTACACAGCACATGTTTCTAATCTTTGCTAAGCAGAATGCTAGTTTGGGGTTGGGATGTGTGAGCACAAAATTATGGCGGGAATCCATGGCATGGGTATTTTCTAGGAACTTAATTTTAGCACAGCTTCAGTGTGATTTTGGCCAAATGAGTAGAAACATGGGAAACTTGATGACGTTGTTTTCACCTGGGGCCAACAAAGCATTCCATCTAAGATGGAGAGTAGGGAATTTCCATATTCAACAGGATACCCTCTGTGGTATCGAAAAAACTAACAAGCAACACCCATGTGCAAGCAAATGACTCTGGAGGAACTTAAACCAAGAACCTTTGAGTAGTTCCAGGGAGGAACCTCGAAGTCCAACTCCATTGCAGCACAGAGCCCAGGTTATAAGTAACATGTGTTTTTCATCTCAGGCTCTTCCAAATTCAGTGAGGGCATAGCGCTTTCCTGTTCTTGTTTACTAAACAGGTGTTTTCCTGATGACAGCACTTGAAATCTACACATAACACATGTCTGAAAGAAAGCAACCTTTTCACATACCTGAATCCACAAGCATTTAATTGCATCAATGTCAAGGCTAGACTTTACCATCCAGAGCCCCGCCGAACCAATCTTGGCTAGCTTGTGTGGTGTGTCATCTCAGGCTGTAAGAAAGGCATAGCAGTTGCCCAAACAGAAGAGTCTTTTATCAGGCACTAAAGAAATTAGCACTCTGGATCTCTTCTATGATTGATGGGCAATTTTGCATCCCAGCATTGCATCTCCTTTTTCTCCAGCATTCGTTAGGAAGCAACTACAAAAGAGTTCTTGTTGATAGCAGTTGAAATTTACATGCAAAAAAAAAGCAAACAAATGTAGCAGGATCTGAACCCATAAGGTTTTAATTGATTCAAGCCATGAAGCCACCACTCAATGCGACACTGACCAAATCAAGGCTTGTTGGTGTTCTCTCTTCTATGGAACAAATGGATTGAAGACGCTGCTATAGAAACAAAGAATCATGCATGAGGCACTGCTGTGATTTGAACCCAGGATCTCCTGTTTACTAGACAGGCACTTTAACCAACTAAGCCACGGCATCATTTATCTTACATGCCATCTTTCTGAACTGATTGTTGACTCTTACTCGAGCTAAGCTTTACGCCAATGGCTTGCGGACATAGATGACATATTAAGGCATCTACTCAACCAGCCATGAAATGCACATTCTGTCATGTCAGATTCAGAAAAAGATAACCCAGACCATTGGTCACCAACCCTGTTCCTGGAGATACTCCTTTGAAGACGATAGCACCAGCTAAAGTATTCTAGACATAGGCATCCTACACAGATGCTGATCTGGCATATGCATACATGTTGTTTGTGCCAGAATGCTGCTCCTACAGCTGATTTGAGACATGCTAGGATACTCAACCTATGATAAACCACAAACATAGTTCAAGATATATTTCCACAAACAGCAGACAAGCCCCAACAGATCAGAGACACTATCTGATCTCCAGCCATGGTCGTTACACACATATCACCAAATTTCTGTTCACAGCAATTGCACTGAGGGTACACAGCACATGTTTCTAATCTTTGCTAAGCAGAATGCTAGTTGGGGGTTGCGATGTGTGAGCACAAAATTATGGCGGGAATCCATGGCATGGGTATTTTCTAGGAACTTAAATTTAGCACAGCTTCAGTGTGATTTTGGCCAAATGAGTAGAAACATGGGAAAATTGATGACGTAGTTTTCACCTGGGGGCCAACAAAGCATTCCATCTAAGATAGAGAGTAGGGAATTTCCATATTCAACAGGATACCATCTGTGGTATCGAAAAAACTAACAAGCAACACCCATGTGCAAGCAAATGACTCTGGAGGAACTTAAAGCAACAACCTTTGAGTAGTTCCAGTGCGGATCCTCGAAGTCCAACGTGCTCTCCATTGCACCACAGAGCCCAGGTTATAAGTAGCAAAGCTGTTTCATCTCAGGCTCTTCCAAATTCAGTGAGGGCATAGCGCTTTCCTGTTCTTGTTTACTAAACAGGTGTTTTCCTGTTGACAGCACTTGAAATCTACACATAACACCTGTCTGAAAGAAAGCAACCTTTTCACGAACCTGAATCCACAAGCTTTTAATCGCATCAATGTCAAGGCCAGACTTTACCATCCAGTGCCCCACAGAACCAATCTTGGCTTGCTTGTGTGGTGTGACATCTCAGGCTGTAAGAAACGGCATAGCAGTTTCTTACAAACAGGCACTTTTATCAGGCACTGAAGAAATTCGCACTCTGGATCTCTTCTATGATTGATGGGCAATTTTGCGTCCCTGCATTGCATCTCCTGTTTCTCCAGGATTCGTTAGGAAGCAAGTACAAAACAGTTCTTGTTGATAGCAGTTGAAATTTACATGCAAAACACATCTGAAAGCAAACAAATATAATAGGATCTGAACCCACGAGGTTGTAATTGAATCAAGCCATGAAGCCACCACCCAATGCGACACAGACCAAATCAAGGCTTGCTGGTGTTCTCTCTTCTCTGGAGCAAAGGGATTGAAAACATTGCTATAGTCATGCATCAGGCACTGCAGGGATTTGAACCCAGGATCTCCTGTTGACTAGACAGGTGCTTAAACCAACTTAAACCAACCACAGCACCGAAGGGCTTAGATGACACCTGTCTGAACTGATCGTTGACTCTTACTCAAGCTACGCTTTATGCCAATAGCATGCGAACATAGATTTCATATTAAGGCATCTACTCAACCAGCCATTAAATGCACATTCTGTCGTGCCAGATTCAGAAAAATATAACCCAGACCATTGGTCACCAACCCTGTTCCTGGAGATACTCCTTTGAAGACCATAGCACCAGATAAAGTATTGTAGACATAGGCATCCTAGAAAGATGCTGATCTGGCATATGCAGGTATGTTGCTTGTGACAAAATGCTGCTGTGAGGGTACTCAGCACATGTTGGTAATCTTGGGTAAGAAGAATGCTAGTTTGGGGTTTGGATGTGTGAGCACAAATTATGGCATGAGATTATGGCATGAACCCATGTCATGGGTATTTTCTAGGTATTTAAATTTAGCCCAGTTTCAGTGTCAATTTGTCCAAATGAGTAGAAACATGGGGACCCTGATGACGTTGTTTTCAACAGGGGCCAACAAAGCATTCCATCTACGATGGAGAGTAGGGAATTGCCATATTGAACAAAATACCCTCTCTCGAATAAATCAGCAATCCACTCCACCTGAAATCAAATGACTCTGGAGGGACTTGAACACACAATCTTTGAATAGCTCCAATGTTGAACCTAGAAGTCCAATAGCACTATCCATTGCACCACAGAGCCCAGATAACAAGGAGGAAAGGTGTTAAGTAGCAAAGGTGTTCTCTCGAACAGTCAGATCTACCGTTTCGATTTAGTCAGTCAGGTTTGAAATACCTAGGTATCAACGTGACACGTTCTCTATCTAATCTTCTATCAGCTAACTTTACTCCCCTTATCTCAAAGGTTAAATCTAACATTCAGAGTTGGGGTAACTTACCACTTTCCCTAATTGGCAAGATCAACGCTGTCAAAATGAATATTTTACCGAAGTTTCTTTTCTTGTTCCAACAAGTGCCTCTTTCTCTCCCAAAATCATTCTTTGAGTCATTGGATAAGATAATTAGTACATGAGGGTTCGAATTCAGTGTTCGATGGAGTAAGACATGAAGTTTGAGTCTCCTGCTGATTTCGATCAAAAATTGTAATTAATTACCACTTTCTTTTGTAATATAATATTTTTATATATAATTTATATATATAATATTATATATAGTATATTTTGACTTATTCTACTTCGTTTCCTTATTTGTACTTTTAACTCGGTGGTTCGTTAAAGATGTCGGGGAAAAACTCTACAACCGGTGGCAGCATACAGATAAAATTGAGGTCTGGAGGGCGCACCGCGAGCGCGTTTCCTTCTCGTGAATCCGCAACCGCGCCTCCCTCTCACCATACACCTGTGCCCGCGAATCCTTCTCCTCAGGAATCCGTAGCCGCGCTCCCTTCCCCCAGTGAACCCGCGGTCGCATCCACGTCCCCGAGTGGTGGCTCTGACCTCGCCGCATTCAATCTTGAGTTGCTGGCTTTACTTAGGAAGGACATCGCTGATTTTAGGAATGAGTTCCGGGAGCACCAGAAGCACCAGGAGAATCTTCAGAAGACTCTCAGTGATGCGCTGATCTGGCATATGTAGATATCTTGTTTGTGCCAGAATGCTGCTCCTACCGCGGGTTTGAGGAATGCTAGGATCCTCAACCTCTGATAAACAACAAACATAGGTCAAGATATTTATCCACAAACAGCACACAAGCCACAGCAGATCAAATATTATTTATCCAAAGCGACTTACCAAAGAGAAAATACAAGCAATGTACTATCTGATCTCCAGCCATAGTCTTTACAAACATATCAGCAACATTCTGTTGACATAATTGCTCTGAGGGTACTCAGCACATGTTGGTAATCTTGGGAAAGAAGAATGCTAGTTTGGGGTTTGGATGTGTGAGCACAAATTATGGCATACAGAAGAGTCTTTTATCAGGCACTGAAGAAATTCGCACTCTGTATCTCTTACGATTGATGGGTGATTTTGCGTCCGTGCATTGCATCTCCCTTTTCTCCAGGATTCATTAGGAAGCAACTACAAATAGTTCTTGTTAATAGCAGTTGAAATTTACATGCAAAACACGTCAGAAAGCAAACAAATGTGGCAGGACCTGAACCCACAAGGTTTTAATTGAGTCAAGCCATGAAGCCACCACCCAATGCGACACAGACCAAATCAAGGCTTGCTGGTGTTCTCTCTTCTCTGGAACAAAGGGATTGAAGACATTGCACTAGAAATAAAGAGTCATGCATGAGGCACTGCTGGGATTTGAACCCAGGATATCCTTTTTACAAGACAGGTACTTTAACCAACTAAGGCACAGCACCATTGGTCTTAAATGCCATCTTTCTGAAGTGATTGTTGAAGCTTTACGCCAATGGCTTGCGGACATAGATGACATATTAAGGCATCTACTCAACCAGCCAGGAAAGGCACATTCTGTCGTGTCAGATTCAGAAAAAGATAACTCAGACCATTGGTCACCAACCCTGTTCCTGGAGATACTCATTTGAAGACGATACTTGTGATAGAAAACAAATATGACAATTGAATGCACAAGCTGTTTATAGAATCATGCTTAGAATCACCATCCAATGTGACAGAATCAATCTCTGCTTGCTGATGTTTCATGGCAGGGAGTACCAAAGACATGGCTCTTGCAACAAGAGAAGAGACTTGTAGTAGGCACTGCTGGGACAAGTGTTTTTTTCTGTTGATAGCACTTGAATTCTACATGCAAAACATGTCTGAAAGAAATTAACGCTGGATAGCTGAGCTTTGTCACCTTTTAGCATGAGGTTGACAAAGATGGATGGTCATCACAGAGATTCGAGTCCATATGATAGTATCCGTATTAGACTGTGCAGAAAATTAGCAGTCTGTGTGAACAAGAGCACACTCAATGACCCAGATGTGATTTGAACACACAACCTTCTGATCTGGAGTCAGACGCAACTGCAACAGGAAATCCATAGCGCATCATGGTGCAAGGCATACTTGGTCATGGTTGCACTGATCAAGACACATTGGAACTCAGAGACAAGTGGTGGGCTGTGACTTTTGCGACTACAGTCAGACATCTGGGCAAAAGTTTCTTCAGAAGACAAGGCACAAGCCCTTTCACGGCATAACCTGACTGGCATCCCCTTCCCTTGACTTTAAGGGAGATTTTCAAGCTCAAATGGCAGATCTCACCTCAGTGCGTGAGAGTGAAGCGTGGACAACTTATACCTCTCTGTCTTATTGTCACAGTTGATATCCTATCAATGGCTCTGACCTTCCTGAATGGTAAGTACTATTTGTTGGGGTGATTTTGGGTAATTCAAGCAACTAAAGATACTATATATTTGTTTACAATGTATTAAACGTTAAACAGTTTGGACAACATCCAATACTTTCAAAAGAAACCACAATTCGATTGCTTCAAATAGGAGCAACTTGATTTACAATACATACATGAGTGCTTCCCGTTGGGGCGGTCTCATCTGTGTATTTGACTTTACTGTCTTCTGTGCCTGCTGCAATGTATCTCTGGGTGTTACCCCGATTGTATCACATATATTTCAGTTTTAATGTGATTTTCTGAAAGCTTTGATATCTTTCAGAAAAGCATTCCATTTGTTCAATTGGCAAATTCTCATGCAGGTATGTAACAACTGTGAACAGCAATTAATGCACATGAAGTTTCATTGAGGAAGATCGTCACCATTGCTATTCCCTGTACTGGCCTGCCTGAATGGCAAACCAAACTCCAGACGTAGTTGGCAGGATTTGAACCAGCGCGGGGAGACCCCAATGGATTTCAAGTCCATCGCCTTAACCACTCGGCCACAACTACATAAAAAGTCTGAACGTATTTCCATGCACTTTGTTTCAGAAATGTATCGGCTTCACTTAGGGACCCTGCTCCGGTATTTCGGCAACACCACAACAAAGCAGCGGAGTTGGTTCCCTTGGCAACCGTCTACTGCCATGAAATCAAGCCTGTGCTATCATTTGAAGCCTAGAATTGGCAGCAATGAACATTTATTAACCACAGTGTGGCAAAAAGAAGCTTCAAACTGTTTGCACGTAGAGCCCAGATAGCTCAGTAGGTAGAGCATCAGACTTTTAATCTGAGGGGCCAGGGTTCAAGTTCCTTCTTGGGTGCTGTAATACCTGCTTGTTTAACCCTCCAAGTTGTCTGAGGACCAGTGAAAACAACAAAAGTACAATCTTCAGGAATATTTTGTTCAGCAAGAACAATCTGTAAACTAAGAAACCATACAGCAGGTTGCTAAGTTACTGATGATTCTTAGGTGAAAGAGTTGCTAGCTGAACTTTGTCACCTTTTAGCACGAGGTTGACAAAGACGTGGATGGTCATCACAGAGATTCGAGTCCATATGATAGTATCCGTATTAGACTGTGCAGAATATCAGTAGTCCGTGTGCAAAAGAGCATCCTCAATGACCACGACGTGATTTGAACACACAACCTTCCGATCTGGAGTCAGACACGCTACCGTTGCGCCACGAGGTCACAGCAACTAAGCCATAGCGCATCATGGTGCAAGGCATATTTGTTCATGGTTGCACTGATCAAGACACATTGGAACTCAGAGACAAGTGGTGGGCTGTGACTTTTGTGACTAGAGTCTGACATCTGGGCAAGAGTTTCTTCAGAAGACAAGGCACAAGCCCTTTCACGGCATAACCTGACTGGCTTCCCCTTCCCTTGACTTTAAGGGAGATTTTCAAGCTCAAATGGCAGATCTCACCTCAGTGCGTGAGAGTGAAGCGTGGACAACTTATACCTGAAGCGCAACTTAGAGACTCAACTGCCTATGTGATAGAACCATGGTTCAACTTTCTTTTGGGTAACTTCACACATTTACCACTTGTACGAGGCCTTTGTGTCATTATATGTGTCAGAAGACTAAGTTACTGATGATGCTTAGGTGAAAGAGTTGCTAGCTGAGCTTTGTCACCTTTTAGCATGAGGTTGACAAAGACGTG